TGTCTGAAATGCCGTATCCCAGAGTAGATGTTTGATGGTATCATGGAACTAAAACCTTGTACGCAGTCTTGCCACAGGATTGGACGGGGACCTGTGCACTTGTACAGCCAGTGATGTTTTATATGCAGTACCAATGACAGTGGGGCAGTTATGGCGCGTTTCCACTACAGCCCGCAGCCCGGTTTAAGAGGGCTGTGACGTCAGCGGCCCGTTTGTGGTTGCGTTTCCACTTGGCCTAGTACCGGCCGGCGGGTCCTAATTCACAGTTTTTCTGGCCTCATAAAATCGTGGGGCCAGGGCCAGAGACAACGAGGCTGAGTTTGTGACGTCAACGCTCTCGGCTGCTGATTGGTCGGAGAGAATCGTCACAATCTGCGCGCTAGATAATCCATTTTTACAAACAGCATTTTTGTTAACAGAGGAGCTACAACAATGGCAAAGAAAAGCACACCATGGTCGGTCGAGGAAGTGACGACGTCCATTATATTGCAGATGATAAGGTCCAGCGGGTGCTCGACGGGACAACTCGCAATATCAAAGTCTTTCAGGAGGTCTCTACACAGACACTGGCGTTACTGGAGTCTGCATGGTACGTTTTTGCTAACGTTCTGTTATTTGCTTGAAAGCTTGTTGTCCCTATCTGTTCTAAAGCTCACTTCTAACAAATAAGTCTATTTTATCCTTACATTTATGTTCGACAACCCATGATTTTATGGAGCCCCGAAGGCTAGCTAGGCAGATAGCATTAGCGAGAGCTATTGTTTGCTAACACCATATGTGCCATTGTTTACGTTCAGTTTGTCTTTTCTATAGTTGTTGTTGCTATTTATAGTATTGTGCTGCAGTAGTTTGTGGAATTTACAAGTCATGTTTCTGTTCTAGATGATTACATTGGGACTAGCGAGGAGGAACAGTTCCGAACAACGTCCTCTGCATCAACAGCACAAACCGAGGAGGAGACGATCTGGCCCTGCAGGAACGGCAACTGGCCCAGCAGAATCAATGCCATGTCTTATCTTATTGCTTGTTGATAAATAATTGCACCCACCAGCGATCACACAGAAAGATGGCATCATCTAGGCGTCCCTCTGCAGTCAGAAATATCATAAACACCATCGTCCACAAAGCACTGTACAGGGGTTTATGGATTTAAGAGAATATTTATCACAGTGAAACCTTTATCATCTGTTGCAATTAAAGCAAATAAGAGAATAAATACTTGGTTAAATAATACATTTTAACTCTTTAGCAGGACAACTCTGCATACTGTTTGAAATTGAGTTTGCTAGCTTGAGGTCCTCCTCTAAAACATAACATTACATAATGGTATTAAGAATACATGATAAATACATGTAGTAAAAATTACTCAATTGTAATACCCTCGTTGTGCTAGACTCAAACACATTGCTTATATATTTCAAAGAGAAGAACAAAAGAAAACACCTATACAAAGAGAGCGGTGCACAGCGCTTAATATTTACTTGCACTATATTTCTGTTGATCTGGGTTATTGTGTTGCACTGTTGGAGGAGCCTGTGACCTAAGATGTTCATTGTCATAACTACACTAGCTATGTTCGTATGACAAAATAAAAAACCTTGAACCTTGAGGCTGTGTCTTTCAGACAAACCATCATAATCATATTATTTTATGCTGTGGATACTTTAGCCTCCATCCATGTTAACAATTTTTACACTTGCATTTATGAATATAGTTCTGTTGTGTTTTACACTTTTGTATTTATGTTTATAGTTTGCTTTGATATTTGCTTCATTTATTAGATTATTATTATTATGGGGGCAGTACTGGTGCTTGAAATTCAAATATTTACTAAATAGTCAATTCTGATAACATTTTTTGGTTTAAATAATTTGACAAACACATGTATGTGAAAAAGAAAAGATGTATTTATGTTCAATACAATGAATATTTAGGTATTACATTATACATTCTAGGTATTCAGGTGCGCATCATACCCAAGTAACATGTAATGTAATGTTGACTAACTTATAACGAGCAAAACATTCCGGTTTTTAACATATATTATACAATAATGTCGCTTTCTCACAATGTCCTCAGTATTTATTGCTTTTATCACTGAATAAACATGTATTACATTTTGCAAACATGAAAAAACACATCAGTTTTACACATTTTTAAACACCTTAATTCCTGAATGACAACTTCGCTGTTTTCTGTTCATAATGCCCTCTTTTGAATTCATGTAATGAACGTAGGTTTTCCTCAGGCATCCTGAAGTTCTCCACCCACTTTGTGTGTGAAAGATGGAACAATCACATTCCACCACTCGGTAGCTCGGTCGGTAACTTCTGAAATACACAAACAAAAGCATACATATTTTAATACGTAAAAGTGGTAGCTACAATTAATTAAATACTTGAAATACTTTGGTCGTATAGGGAGCGTGAGCCTAAACACATTGCTAGTTAGCGAACGTTAGCTTACCAAGTAGCATCGTAGTTAGTAGTGATTCGAGTCGTCCTGTAGTCTCTGCGGCGTAGGAGGACTGCCCGAACTCTCGCGTCAGCTTCTTCTATACGTCGCCTCTTTCGAAACAACTCTTGTCTATTTCTTGTGATAATAAACCACACAGCAAAAAACAAGCAAACGATCGCTTTCACATCTCACATTTCACATCTTCACATCCTCCATTGGCTTAGAGTAGACGACAGAGTACAGCTACTTGCAATGGGCCTGGTCTACAAGATCCACTACACCTCTATGGTACCCATGTACATGTCAAAATTATTCCCAAAGGTCAAGGAATACCATGATCATAACACCAGAGGGAGCTCCACAAATCATGTAAAACCCAGATTTGGCACAAAAAAAGGGGAATACACGTTTCGCAATTATGCCACATCAAGGTGGAACGCTCTTCCCACAACTGTAAAGGAAAGTAAAACTATACTTACCTTCAAAACCTCTCTTAAAGAGCACCTTCGGGGGAAAGCATTGCAAACTGGCCCCGGTAATGGTACAAATCTCAACCTGTCGTACAATGGACAGCTTCCCCCCCCCATCTATGTATATACTCGCATTTTAGACTCTGTTACTAACTGTATATCTGTAGACTTGGTATGTCTTAAATGTCCGGTTAGGATGTATTAGAACGAAATCTAAAATGAAAATTGTAAATAAGCCATCTGTATGTAAAAAACCACCTGTATGTAAATTGTAAATAAGCCATCTGTATGTCAAATATGTCTTATATGTCTTAAATGATATGATGAATTGGAAATGGGGGACCCTGATGTAAACAAGACGAAAGTCTTTCTCTGGTCTGCATCCCCTTAACAATTGTATGTTTTGAGCTGTACTGTACTGTACCCAATATACAAGCTGTTAAAACTTTTCAATCAATCAATCAGAAGACCGAGGAGGACGTACCCCCTATCTGCACAGCTGGAGGGAACGAGGAGAGGATAAAGGAGAACGGAGGGGGGAAGAGGGGACTCCTTCTTCGCTGCAGCCACCTGAGACATCACCTGCTTTGTCTTTTCCCTTACCCTCTGCTTGTTGTATCATCGTGCCATTTAATTAAACTCACCAATTTGAACCTTTTCGGAGACTCCATTAGTCTCTTCATTCTAAGCTCCTCTCCTGGGCGCGAGAACATCGAATACTTCTAATACGCACCGGTAACTTTCTCAACAAAAAAAGAAAGTATAAAATAAAGTCAGGAAAACGGTTTAGTTTCTCGTGTTCCTGACTTTATTTTATTTTATACTTTGAGCAAAATGGAGAGATCTATGGATACATCTCTCAACACCCATATGAAACAGAACTGTAAACAGATTTACTTTTTCTTTATGGATATTTTACAAATCAGCCTTTTAAACTTTATTCTTTTTTTACTGTCATATAGTATTTCATACGCGCCCCCCACTTTGAGAACCACTGCTTTAGGGGCTCCGTAGGCTCCCATAAAATACAGAATCTATTTTAAAATACTACCCTCTCTCTGGAACAAACGATGTTCTCATCAGAGAGGCAGACAGTGTCCATAATGTTAAGAGTGCGCTCAAGACCTTTCTTTTTAACAAAGCCTTTAGTTAGAGCTGGCTCCAGATTTTGTTATTATATGTGTGTGGGGTCTACCAGGGGCCGTGGTGGTTGTACAGTCTGACTGCTGCAGACAGTAATCATATTTCTCAAAATGTATAAAGAGTTTAATGCAGTGGAACACCCATTTCTTTACGATTGTTTGGTTTTGGTGAAAACTTTATTTCAGTAGTAATGTATAAAAATACATCAGTATTAATACAATAATGTGTAACCCAATTGAAAGAGATGTTTAAAGCAATGATTTAAGGTGAGAACAACTGTCAAATATTGTGTATTTATATAAGTAAAGATAGCAAGACAACAGCTTTATTTACTTCCTAGAATTAAAAAGAAAAAAAATCACCACTTAACATCTAAGGCAATAAATGACATACCTACATACTCAATTTGCATAGAAAAAATATAACACTTCTTTTAGGGTCCATAAAACCAGGAGGTTATAATTATTGAGTTGTATTAATTACAATAATACATTTAAGATAAAATGAATCCAGGAATGTCTTAACATTATATTTGGTATTTATTTGTATGTACTTACTTCTAATATTCATATATTAGATTGCCCTTAAAAAATATCAAAATGGTATCATCAGACCTTCCATGTTTTACAATACAACAATTCTAAGTAGAGAAACTGACTTTTTACCCAAAAAGGGAAAACCATGATGGAGATGGGTTTGTATTTTCGAGGGAATAAATAGCAAGTATATATTATTTATCAATTTAATAGATTTCCCCTGACACATTGTTTGCCCTCATGGAACCAAGCTCTGCTGACCATGCATACATTTGCAACCTTTGTGCAGAACACTAGTATGGTGTCAAAGAAATGTCAATCCAAAAAATATATAAATATTTAGTTTAGTTTATTTAGTTTATTTATTTATAGTGTCGTGGACAGTCCCCATCGATGAACTGTCACAAAAACAGTGAATGGAGCAGCTTTAGCCGACATGGCTAATTTCCAGCTGTTGTCCCCGGTCAGATGATAATAGACAACCTTAAAATCACAATATATATCAATCAGCAGCTATGTTCAAGCAAAAGCAATTAGCCTCAGCCGTGTACATTACCCAGAAAAAGAAACCACCCAATGCACAGAACCACAGTCACAGCCTGAGGCCAATTAAAACCCCACATTTACACTATAAAGGAAAAAAGGTTATATTTATATGTATATTTAGCACAATAAAAATGTATAAGAAGCTAAGTCAAGTGGTGAAGGATTTTCCGTGTTGAAACACATTGAGCTCTTACTGGATGTTCCCCACTCACACTATAAATGGAAATTGGTGCCAACCCGCCCTGGTTCTAGCCCCAGGGAATGTAGAGGAATACACTAAGGCCAAATCTGGAAGTCAGGGAATCAAAGCACTAATAAAGAAGGTTATATTGTGCCCTAAGATGTTCGGATAAAATCAAGCAAAAGTGTGTAAATGAAAAGAAGACAGGTACGGTGCATGATGGAGGTCATCTTCCTCCCCAGGCCAGTTTGAATAGTATTAAGGGACTTCACTGTCCTATGGTCCTTCCCTATGGATTCTGGGCCTCCAATAGGGATCAGACTCAGCTATGATGAGTGACTCCATGTTACTGATTTACAGTGATTTCTGAATCGTTTCTGGCCGTCACCTCTCCCCGACCAATCCTGAAAGACTGGAATGCCTCCCGAACTTTTTGCGACCCAAAACAGTACAACAGTGGATCCAGGCAGCTGTTCACTCCTGCTAAAATCCACGAAGCATAATACGCCGTCTCCATCTGCAGAAGAACTTTGCATTGTTCTGGGTAGTATTTCTTTAGGACCACTCCCACGGTCCGTACCACGTTCAGAGGCAGGAAGCACAGCCCAAATATGAGCAGACACATAGCGATCATCCTCTGAGATTTCACCTTCACATTCAGACCTTTGGGTGTGCTGATGTTCAGGCGGGTCAGAGAGTTGGCCAGACGGCTGTAGCACACAGCAGACACCAGGAGAGGGAATAGAAACCCAAAGATGAACAGGACGAAGTTAATGACAAAGTAGGCGTCTGATAGGCTTCTCTGATGGATGGTGAGGCATTGGGTGGACCTGCCCTCTTTACTTTGAGGAAGCATCAAAGCGAAGATGAGAGACTGGAGGAGCAGCAGAGACCAAACCCCTGCACACAGCCTCCGCACAAACCCCTTCCGTTTCATACAGGAGCCTCTGTTGAAGTGCACCACGGCCGCATAGCGGTGGATGCTGATCAGAGTGAGGAATATGGTGCTGCCGTAGAAATGGGAACTCAGCAGGGCGATCTTGACTTGGCACAGGAAGCGACCAAAAGGCCAGTGGCTCCCCATGGCAAAGTACACCGCCATCATGGGGGTGACGGGGGTGGCGATGGCGTCGCTGAGGGCCAGGTGGAACTGCAGTGTGGTTCCAGAGGTCCAGCAGGGCAGGCGGCAGCAGAACACCCAGAGGCTGAAGGTGTTGAGGAGGAAGCCCAGGAAGAAGACGAGGCACAGGAGCACAGTGATAGACACGTGCTGGGTCCCCCCCACAAGACCCAGAGTCATTGCTGCTGTTCCCAAACTGTGAGGAAAGCTCCAGAGGCTTCATCTTCTCAAACACCTTCTGCTATTTCACCTGTGGCAGAAGAACAGACATGCATTTCATTCGCATATATTACAAAGTTTAGTTTCAAATATTCAATCAGATATAAAATATCATGAAATGCAATGACATGAGGGTCCAGGATTTCTGGTTTACACAGTGCAGTACTCTCTCTGTTTTGCACTTACTGTATAGAACTGTTGCTAATAAAGAGATGTATAGAGGTGTTTAATTAAACACTCTACTTGAAATACAATTCATTAATAGTGAATAATGAAAAACAATGAGAAGAAACTAAATTCGTCAACATGTAATCTTTACTTTTCAATAACAATAATTAACATTATAATACCTGTGCTATATTTTCAGCAAGATTATTTTGGGCTGAACATTCCATTGGAAGTGTTTTGTGATCAGTCCACTAATGAAGGAAACACTTTTTTCTGACGTAAACACACAAGGTGTTTACATTTTAACTCTCAATTATGTTCCTTATTCATTTAATTCAGTGTGTATCAATGTGACGGTGTTTAAAGAGGTCTCTTGTGGAGATTATCCTACAGCAGGCATCCTCAAAGTCCGGACTCTGGTCCGGATCCGGACCGAACCATAACTGTCTCTGGACTCTGAGCAAATTATACTTTTCATATGTATTATCTGTGTTATCTGCGAGACATCGCCACAACGCAACGAGTCAAAATTCTCCGCTATGTCCACTGCATACAGCGCTCTGCATGCAGTGGCGGCGCCAGGGTATTTTTGTTGGGTAATCTATGGTAGGGCTAACCCATACAGTGGTGGTGCTCAAGTCAGTATTTGCAATTGAATTACATACACGCTATATCGCCCCCCGTGAAACAGTGAAATGCCACACGTGAGGTTTAGATTATTTCCCTTTCTCAATCAAAATGGAACTGTATGAAATAAAACGGCACATCTGTAAATAAAAAGGGATCACTGTGAACGGGATACTGAATGGCGGTTTTGATTGATCTCAATCAGTAAGGCATGACGCAGACAACGTTGAATTGCTCTGATTGGCTGTAGGTCTATTCAAATTGCATTCGGAGGCATTTTGATCTGACCGCGGCCGCACTTAACGCCAGAGAATTTCCACACCTTTAGTGTTTAAAACTCCCCCACTACTTAGACTATTCCTTGCACCCCTCTTCTATAAGCCCGAATGGTCTCAACCATATTGCATCAGTAACGTGCACTTGTTGTTACAGCAGGATCAGTTTGTGTGTTGTGGACACGACCCGTATGTTTTCGCAATCCGTGTTCTCAACATTTTGCATTTTGCTTATTATTTAATTGAATTTGCTTACTTTAACATCACTTTTCATGGTGGGGCTAAGGTGGGGCTAAGCCATTTCTTGGTATGGCTGTAGCCTACCCCAGCCATACCCTGGCGCCGCCAGTGTCTGCATGTCAGACACCAACAGTCTGCGAATCAGAGGCACAGTAGGGCGGGTCTTCGCGGAATGCGGGTGGGAAAAATGCGTGTGTCGTGTCGTCTCTTTCAAACTGTTCAAAAAAAAAAGTCAGAGCGAGAGTTAATAACGTAACCAGATGAGTGATTACAGCGCCCGGTATCATTTTACACACATTTGTATCACACAGATGCAAGCTTGCACACGCCTGTTATCTAACCGACAGGTCCGCACGCACTCTCCAGCCGAAACTCTCGTTTTATTAATTTAAGCATTTTCTTATTAATTTATGCAGACACACCCCCCCCCCAAATGCAATACCAGCCGCTCAATGCGCAGTGCATTCATTCACAAAGTAAATCAGGAGACCTTTAAAGTTTTATGTACACATCAAAGTATCAGTAGGCGTGTATGAAACACATGAATTCAAAAACAATTATGTACAGAAACATTTGCATGCGATAGTCCACCTTCTCTTCCCTTCCCTTTCTAACACACGGCAAGTGCAGCAACAGTCCTCGTCTCTGTAATTAGCTCAGTCCGTAGTCCAAAAGTAACTAAAAATATAAACAATCTCATCTATTCAGGTGAAATCGCCAGCCGCCTCTGAAGGGAAGCCCTTGGCATGGCCCTGACCAATCACAGGTTGGCAGGGGCATCACGTGGGCCTCATCTGATTGGTCAATCCCTCAATTTTTTTCACCAAGGGAAACCCAATCTGACTGGCCTCCTCTCGCAACAGTGAATGCAATCTACTGTTTCACCATAACATCTAGAGGGGCGCTGATTGTTTCACTCTTTGTAAAATACTCAATGAGAGTGGGGGAGAGACGGGCCGGCAGCAACACACAGCAAAGGAGAATTATCGAAACAAAACAAAGTGTTTTTATTTATTTATTTAAATTATAACAACAATCCGAAAAAACAGGGGAAGCCTGGCTTCCCTTGGCCTCCGGGAGAAAACGCCACTGAAGGAATGAGGTATTTGCAGTCTACAATGACAGAGAAGAGACTGTCAGTGTGGCTGTCCTCAGCATTGAATCAAAATGCACTAAAGTTGTGGATCTTACTAAGTTTGTGAGGCGTTTTGCTGAACAAAATGGTAATCGCCGCATTCAGCTGTAATAGACATGTCAACTTGATGCTCTGCTCACGGATGAGCATACACAACTGTTAAGATGATGACCTTACGTGTGTAAATATATTTTTTTCTTTGTGGGGGTCTGCCCCCAAAAAACAGTTGTAAGTCCTGAGAAAGTCAAATAAGACAGTGTGTAAAACTACACTGCCCAGCCAAAAAAAAGTAACCACTTTGATTGAACTAGGCCAGTAGGTAAGGACTCTCCACTGGATAATAACTGAAGTATAAAAGAAGCATGATGACTGAAGTGATGGAGACCATGTTTGAAGGCAAACAAAAAGAGGAAATAACAGGTCAAATCAAGCAAATCCCCCTCTCAGATTCCACAGCAACCAGAAGAACATAAATACTGGCTGGTGATTTGATTAATCAGCTTTGTGATGGAATAAAAAATGCACAGTGCATTTCCTTAGCTGTGGATGAGTCCACTGACACCACTGACAATGCTCAGTTGCTGGTGTTTGTGAGTTTTTATGATGAGCAAAGGGGGAGTTTGTTGAAGATGTGTTGGGCCTGACGAACCTCAGTGGACACACAAGGGGGCAAGACATTTATAAAGCAATAATGGGAATGCTGAATGAAAGAGGGTGCAGCTGCCTTTATTCATAACTGTGTAGCTCTTACACTGCGACTCTGAGGGATCAAGCACAGACACGATAACAATGAAAACTGCTGCATACAGATTATTTTGTTTTTGCAACCTCGTGTTAAGAATCTTGTTGCAATTGAAAGTTTGAATGACCGTAATAAACGGACCTTTGTCTTATTGAAAACATTTTTTTGGACCTTTAAGATTTGTATTTGAGTACCCCTGTCAATGATCCCCTAAATCAGCCGCTTCCTTCAGCTTTAAGGATCTTTCTGGTGAGTTCCATGCAATAAGTAGGACTTTGTGAAGCTTTTGGTTGTTTCAGTGAAAGAGCTGTACTCAGCCCTCTGTTGTCCACCTGTGGTTTGTGTCACCTGCTGGGTCAACCCTGTCTCCTAGAAATTACGTTCCCACAAAACTAAACTGCATTCTCAAATACGTTTCGCAAGAAACGTATTTCCTTCCACGTTACGTTTGTTCTGAACATATCTTAAATACGTTTATTTTCTACATATCTTCTAGAAACCTATTTTCTCCCACATGACGTTGTTATGAACGTATCTTAAATACGTTTGCTTTCTACCTATATTTGCCATTTCTTTTCTAGCTTATAATAATGATAATAGTAATTTATTAATATCATTTTAGAGCAAACTTATTTTCGCGCTGGCTGGCGGCTCACTGTTCAGTTACCAAATCCGTTATTATGCTGGTTAATGGTTAATAATCACAATATTGTTTGTAGTCGTTTCATACAGCATTCTCAATTACGTTTAACAAGAAACGTATTTTGTCCCACGTTACGTTTGTTCTGAACATATCTTAAATACGTTTGCTTTCTACCTATCTTTGACATTCTTTTCTAGCTTATAATAATGATCATAGTAATTTATTAATATCATTTTAGAGCACACATTTGAAATCGACGATCGGGCTTGATATCCTATGGTTAAACTAAAATCAGTAGGCGAGGCTGTAATTTCGCCAGCTGCGAGGCAGAAAATAATAGTTTTAACATGCCAAAAAGCTGCTGTGTCGTTTATTGCACCTCAAACATTAAAACAAATCCAGAGTTACGTTTCTGTACTTCCTCTAAGAAGAAAGGACAGTATACAACAGAAGAGCTCTGTGGCTTCAGGCTTGATCGCCGTTCAAATGACAGCTGGTTTCCAAAAGTGGGCAGGGCTGTAAAGTGACGTAGGAAAGATCATCAGATCGCTGATTGGATGTTTTAGCCGCAATGCACGTCGGGATATGGTGTTAATGCGATATGAAATCCGAAAAAAAATCAGAGTTTAGGATGGCCGAAGACACTACACTACCCACAATCCCCAGCTATCGTTTGGGACTACAGTCCCGTTAACAAACCCCGTGATTAATCTTCAAGCTCTGGGATTGGATGTTGGAGTGGCAGTGCGCCAAGGTTACGCCGAGCGCCAAACAGCTCTTTGAAATGGAACGAAACCACGGCAGACTTTCCAAAACTGGACTCGAACGCCCCCCAGAACTACACATGCTGGATATTGTGTTTCGCAACATGTTCTATGGCACGTCTCTACTGGGAATTGTAGTTTTAAAAGACGTTTTCGTTTTTCCCAAAATTAGAAGTTGACAGTATTAAACTGTGTACAGCCCTGGAGGTTTAGGGGATAGGAAACAAATTGGTGTGTACAAATGTAAAACATGTGTAATTAATAAATGGGTGAAAATCGCTTGTGTCCATAATGGGAAGCATTAATATATACCCACATGCCAGCTCATTGTACTTTGTAATTCTACTCCACTACAATTCAGAGGTTAACATTTATTTTAGTTACTTTGCAGATTGATTAATGATGTGAAATATAAACAACCCTTAAAGCAGACTTTA